GGGGGGGGGGGGGGGGGGGGGGGGCGAGAGGGACAACGTAATATATTTCAACGTATAGATTTCGTTGCCAGCAACAAATTCGGGAAGTATCTATATTGTGGTTATAAAATCAGTTCGCGTTGATAACTATCAAGCGTTCCCTAAAAGATATAATTAAATGATTGAGGAGTGACTTGAAAAAAAGTAGACATTTTTCATTATTAATTTTATATTGTTGTTATTCATGCGCTTCGTTTTGAAATGCAAAGAAGATGAAGAGGAAGTTTGGAAAGGAGTATAATCGGCAATTAACAGCAAATGTAGAGCAAACAAGTTCTACAAAAAAAGCCAACCTTACAAACATCCCACAAGAATGATCCTTATGACGATTTATTGAGATACTTAAGGAATCGACCTCTTAATATTTTAGATAATAAAACTTTAGTCACTTGCACAACGTAATATATGGCCCGGTCTCTATATATATAGATTATAGTTGTAGCAACCTTTCGTTGATAGGCATGCAACTTCCTGAAAGATAATGAGAATTTTAACGTTTGAAGCGAATGCCCTCATGGTTCTCCTGGTTCTCATGGCTACCCGCTCCAGACGAAGGGTCTTCGCTCAAAACGTCGAAATTTCCTTATATATTTCAGGTAGTGACATTGCTACCAACCGGAAAGCTTCGGTAATTTAACACTGGCATTACCTATACACCGTGCATGGCAAAGCCAGTTCTACTGAATTCGCAGTAGCCTATCACACATTTGTTTTGTATAAACTAAACCATTGCAGGAAAGGATAAGTCGAATTAACTGCATGCCTGCACTGTAAAATGCAAGGAGTTGAATCAATTCAAAAATTCAGTGTTATTCTCAAACCAAAAACGGTGACAAGTGGGAGTCGATTCATTAAGTCCTTGAAATTTGTAGTGTGTAAATTAAATAGTTGACGAGAATTGAAAGTTTCGAGCAAAGGCCTGGTTCCAGACCAGTTCTGACTTTCAAAGTACAATTCACACTGTATTATACAATGTATATATATATTATACAATGTATATATATATATATATATATATATATATATATATATATATATATATATATATATATATATATATATATATATATATATATATATATATATATATATATTATACTAAAATGTTCTAAAATTGTTTTCCCAGTAAAGCGAGGGCCAAATTACATATGAAATTACAAATTGGCATGACATATGGGTTCTGCACGGCTCTCAGGAAGAGCATTATTTATGTAATGATGAGATTTCCGTGTTGAAATAAAGTTTATACATACATACAAACATGGCTGAGTTAACAGAGTGATGCATGTCCACTCGATAGCAGGGCTGAAGCGACTACAGTATTGTTGAAAAGAAAATTAGGGTATCGCCTATCGGAATAATTTCTTAATCTTTGAAATTCCTCGCGATAATTAACGAGTTCCTTCTTATGACACTTGTTGTACTTATAACACATGCTAGCTCCCGAATGTCTCAGACGGAAGGTATAACATTTACCGCTAACAAGTAAATGTAAAAAAGTGTTTGAAACGCCAAATAGATATAATAATCTATCCGGCTGAAACATGCCATTTTACGCAAGTAAGCTCACGCTCCACAAGAACATTCTATTGCTGGGAAATTAATGAATGGTTTATACAAAAAAAAATGGTGATTAAAATTAACAGTGCATGCTTTATGTTGTAGCTGACTCTCATGCACATGATCATCTTTTATAAAATAGGCCATTTTGTTTATAGTTCACTGAAAGAAGCAGTTAATTAAAAGGCTCCATGTTATCCACTTGGACGTTTTCCCAAGCGGATAAGTACGTCAGGATCAGAGTTAAAAACAAAATGTAGCTGGCTCAATTGAAGCGGAGAGTGTCTCGCACGGCCATGCCATCGTCTATGAGTACGGTTTGCGCCGTTGCCTTTCGGATCTTGAAAACCATTAATATTATAATGTGATACTATATATATCATACATGCATGCCACTCCATGGACCATGATTTTACTCAACTATATGTTTATCTATAGTTAATTTTAAATTAATCAAATACATTTATTAAACTCTCCCTATATTTTTCTAATTTTCTTATCGACCAGGTCTGGAAGATGTATGATGCATATGTCAGAGTTTAAAAATCACTTTTCTAGACTCTAGAGCTCTACTTTTCCGGCTGATTGAAGTCCATCTGTGGCAGTTGATTCTGTACACATTATAAGTCTAGCTCAACTACACGAATTTGTCATTATCCGCGCCCCGGCGCCCGGTAGGTGAATCTAGTCGTACGCTTGTTTCATTAAGGATAAAATCTGTTTATTTAAAATTTCTGACAGACGCCAAACGGAAACGTCGAAGAACGGACAAATATAACTATATTGATATATTTTGGGGCGAATAGTTTAAATAAAAAATGTAAAGAACTCGCGATGATTCGTTGCCAAACTTGTTTAATAGTGCGCCCGTTGAGACAAGGCGCGACAAAAATCAAATAGTACTCATGAGGAACCGAATCCTGCAGTTAATATGGATTAAGAGTCTCTCTCTCAATATATCGGCTACCATATAGCGAAAATTTAGAAAGCCGCAGAAGTACTATTACTGACATTTCTTCAGTAATTGGAAAATACTCCAGCTGTGAGAAATTCGACTCTCTCAAAAGCATAATTAAATTAGCTAATATGCATAATAACCAAGCTATTTTTATGTGAGTTGTACGTCATCAATGTAAAGTGAAATATTAGCTTGCAAAATTCAAATTGCGCCAATAGATATAGTATGTCTGCGTGCCACTGTAAATTCGATAGATATAGCAACCTACGTAAGTGTAATCATGAAGACAGCTAGTGTGTAGTTATAAAAAGACGTGGATTCATTTATCAATGATCAGTTGGGATTAATTATTGTAGCTACTAAAATGGATTGATGTAGCTTAAAAGACAGGAGACGACATCACAAATGAGAAGGCGTCGTAAGGTTAGCGCAGTCCTGGTGGTCAAATTTATTTCTGATTTCTTTAAAGAAAGTAAAATAGGAGACCACCAGGAAAGGTTGTGTGTATTAACGTGTTCCAAGCTATCTTTGCATTTCCCAAAATAACTTTTTGGGGGGAAACAGCCTCGGTGTGGAAAGTTTGTATCGCGCGGCGGTGATATCTGAACGATCATCAAGTGACCAACACTCTATATTTTACAAATATTAATACTGTATTAGAGTGAACGTGTCATGCCGTCAACTCAAATCATGCCGCGTGGCGGCTCTTCTCGAGCGCAGAAAATCTTTTTATAGCGGTAACAAACTAAGTTAATATCAAATAACCCACACTAAGCAGAGCACTTTAATACGTTCGTATTATTTCTGTAGTTTGTTTACATCATGTTCTCTGAGATTTATAAACAGCTTTTTTTGTCTAGCCAATCACATAACTTCATGTGACTGCTAATTATTTCTAACCAATGATAATAACGCGAAAGATACAGAACCTCTAGCAACCAGGCTAAATGCTTCATTGACCAGCTTGTTTCAGCCGCCATATTGCTTTTATCCACGCGTGGCAGATACGTTGTCATGGAAACATGCGCGATTTCAAGATGGCGTAAACGAAACATTGATCGATATTATCAAAGCTTCAAGTCTATTTTCTACCTATTGTGCACACTAGTGAACAGGGTGCTTTGTTTTTCCTGAACAAGGAGTCTAATATGCATTGTGTTGTGTCGGGAATTTTTTAGCCTCGCGACATGTGCAACGAATGTGAAAGATAGAGCAGGACATGTGACGGCCTATTACTGTGCAGGTGGCATTTCTCTAAATATAGCACCTGCTTCGAGACAACGTCGATGAAACCAAACCGAAATGTAGGCTGCAGTGTGCAGAATTTATCATGTTATTATGCTGCTTGTTGACTGTAATTTCCCCCCGCTTCTTGTAGGAATCAATGGCAGAATGGGCCACAAAACGTCAATATGGTTTATTATCTCTGGAATAACTCGCATTACACTATGCTTGGACCATAATAGATTGCCCAACCTGAAGATTACGTAGAAAAGACTGACCTTAAGGGACACCTCGTGACACCCCCGCATGAATCATGACTTTATACATGATGGACTTTTCAATCCTCTTCTCCTTGTTTTTTAACCGGATAAAAAGCGAAAATAACTATTACCCTCCCTTATCTTCAGCAGCTGAAGGATAACCTCGGTAATGAAAGCTTTGTAGAAATGTCCATCTAATCATTCAGCACTTGTCTTTGTATTCGTGCGAATTTATTTTAACTTGCCAAAAATTTCTTTAGGCATTGAGCATGCATCAAGGTAAAAAAATCAAAAGTTCACTGTCTATTAACTATTTAAAGGTGCGCGGCAGTTCTCATGAGTCAAACTATAGGAATTGCTTAATTTAATTAGAGCCAAACTCGCACCAAATTGACTATAACACCAACCGAAAATTCCACGTACCAAATCTGTTTAGTTGAAAACAACGATATTCGTTTAACGAACGATCGGAACTAAGGTTTTGACACACTGGCCACGCAAAACATTGTTTCTTGGGACGCCAGTGGAATAAACATGCTTTTTGACGACTCGAAACAAAGCACTTAAAACCGTTGGAAGGTTGTTGTGTCACGTACATAGAACCAAAGACGATATCCG